AACCCCAGCAGGTGAGGCTCTGGTTACAAAGTTTCTTCTGAGGGTAGAAAGAGTGAAGCACACTGTGCTGGGGTGTATTTCAAAGTGTTTCCTTTTGCCATCTCCCATCTCCCTGTCAGCAGCACCAGGAGAATTTTCTCCATGTTTACCTTGAGAACCAGGCTTATCTCCTGGAGATAAACTCACAAAAGTGTGGGACTACCTATGTGACTGAGTCTCTGATGCTCTAAGACTTTTCATCTCTCAGGGTGTCCACCCTGAACCTCCAGCCCTGTGACCATCACACCTCAGGTCTTCCTAACCCAGTGCTAGTCCGTGTGGGCTTCTTCTCATGAATTTCTGCATCAGTCAGTGGTGATTCTCTGTCTGCCTGTCTCTCCAGTGTTGGGTGCTGCAGTTTGCCCCATGACCGCACTTCTGTTTAAGAAAATATCTTTAAAACCCCTAAAGGGGGGGCCTCCATGATAGCACAAGGGATTAAGACGCAGCACTATGAAGCTGTCCACAGCAACTGCACACGAGTTTGATCCCCAGCCAGGAAGGTGACCCACATGGCGCAGCAAACCTCTCCTGACTGCCCGTTGCTCCCCTCCGCAGTGTATTTCGGTAGATCTGCCTGTTCTCCCTCTCTGACTCTGGTGAATCCCTTCAGTCCCTGCATCTCTGGCCCGCACCCCAGCTATTGTATGCATAAATAAATAAATCTTAAAAAACAAAAACTCCTTAAGAGTTTTCTTTAGTTGTTGAATTTTCAGTCTGTTCAACTCTGTAGTTTCTAAGGTAGAGGGATGACTCCCAAGCTTCTTCATGTCAGAAATTAAAACTGGTTTTAAAAAAGATAAATACCCAAATAGAAAAAGTGGGAAACAAAACTGAAAGACAAAACAGCAATGATGTAATAGAAGTTAAAAGCAATACCCTATCACCACTACTAAAACCTCATTTCTCTGTGGCTTGTCATAAGTAGCCCCCATCCTAACTCATCCTGGAGAAATTACTAGACCTTTACTGTCTAGAATAGTTAGTTTTTATGGGAGGAGAAAAGTCATGTTACCTATTCTAACATCATGCTGATGTCCTTTATTTGGTATTAATTTTACATAGTAAACATTTAATGTATTTTGTCTTGAGTGCTCTAAGTGTGGTAAACAGTCATTTGCTGTCTTCCAGCCATCTCTTCTTGTTATAGGGCAGGGAGAGGGACACCATAGAGCCCCCGAACCTGCCTGCTCTAAATAGGTTCTGCCATCTGCCGCATCAACACAAAACATATGAGACTTTAACAAAAAAGGAACTTTAATAGAATTAGTAAACAATACAGGAAAGGCAAAGAAACTCAAAGTTACACATCCCCTCATGGGTAAAAGTCCATCCAAGCAGGATTGGCTCAGAGCAAGGCCCAAAAGCCTGCCACAGGTCTAAAGCATCTTCCAGTGGGGAACCACAGAAAAGGATCAGAAACAAGCACACAAGTCTGGGAGGAAAAGAGCAAAATCAAAATCAAGACAAATACTACCATTGTCACCTCCCCACGGGTCTCTCACCCACATCTGTTTCACCTAGTCCACAAACAAAAGGCAAGCGTAGTTTCTTCACATGTCTCTCGGCTCCATGTGCCTCTTCTAGGTCTCCTTCTAGCTCTCCATCCTGCTTCCTTCCTTCCCCAGTCTCCTCTGCTGCTTCTTCTCTTCTCTATAGCTCCACCCTCCTTTGGGTGCGGCAAGGAAACTGGAACTTCCACTTTTCCTGGGCACCACCCTGTTACATTCTCATGACCTCCAGGTCTTCATGCTACAGTCAGGCACAGAAGATCTGCTTCCAAATGTGGGACTGGGAGGAGATGGAATCTATGCATTTGACAATTTACAATTAATGAAAGCCCAGACATATCAAGGAGCAATTGAAGGGCAGAAAAGTTGTTGCAATGAAAATAGCCAAGCTGGAACAATGACCCATAATACAATTCTTCCTGCATGAAGAGATCAAGTGTGTGAAACATGTTGGGTCAAACCCCATTTTATGTCTGTTCCATGCATAGATCAGTATGTTTCTGTAAGCAGAGATCCATATGAAATTGTTAACAATACATATTCTCTGAGAGGGCAATTGGATCATATGGGGATCCCCCAGCCCATCATGCAAATAATCATTCAATACATTGTCAATATGGGACAGGTTTATACTTTAAGACAAATAGTTCTCAACATCAGATATGAATGGGAAGACAAAAAAGCTATACGGGATCATATTGAGGAGTCCTCAAACCTCAGACATCAGACATTTCATGAGAAACCCTACAACTGTAATGGATATGGCAAGGTAAACAAATGGTGCTCAAGACTCACTCAATATCAGAGAGAGAAACTGCACAAATGTGAAGAGTGTGGTAAAGCCTTTAATGGCAGTCACAGCTGACTCTACATCTAAGGAGTCATAGTGGAGAAAAAGCTTACAAAGTTTACAGACTGTGAGAGAGCCTTTCTATACTTGTGCAGCCTTTCTTGACATAGGAGAGTTCACAATGGTGAGAAACCTTACAGATATGAAGAATAGGGAATACCTTTTACCAGCAGAATAATCTTACTTGACATCGCAGAATTCATCCCAGGGAGAAACGTTATCAATGTGAAGAATGTGGCAAAGCCTTTAACAGGAAGTCACATATTTCTGAACATCACAGAATTCATAATGGGGAGAACACTTACAAATGTGATGTGGCAAAGCCTTTAACAAGAAAATTTACTCAACATCAGAGAATTCACATTGGAGTAAAACATTAAAAATGTGAAGAAAGTGGCAATGTTTTTAAGCAGAAGTCAAATCACTCTATATATCAGAGAATGTGCACTGGGGAGACATCTACAAATGTAAGGTGATGAGTGATGAGTGGTTTGTAGAAATAGAATAGATATTTTGAAACCACCATATTTTCATGGTAGAATGAATCTGAAGAAGTAAAGATGAGAAAGTAATTTATAATCACATCTAAGTACACATTTAAAAATTACAGTAGGGCCTCCCCTGGTGGCGCAGGCGGTTGAGCGCAGCACTGTGAATATGTCTGCAGCCTCTGTAGCATTGATTTGATTCCGGCCGGCAGGCGAGGGTACCACATGGTGTGGCAGACCTCTCCTATCTCACCCGCTGCTCCCCTAAGCAGTGTATTTCATCAGTCTCTCTGTTCTGTTCCCCACTCTGTCTCTGGTGAATCCGCTCACCCTCTCGCACATCTGGCCTGTACCCCGGTTCTTGAATAAACAAACAAACAAACAAACAAATAAACAAACAAATAAATAAATAAATCTTTTTAAAAAATAAAATAAAATAATTTTTAAATAAAAATTACAGTAAAGCAATAGGTCTGTAACTTCTCAGATATGACTTTCAGAATATTTTTATGAAGCAAAAACCAACATTAAAGCACTAAGTATGTATTAGTATGATTTAAATGTTCAATATGATGGTTTGGGGACAGGTATAATTATTTTCTATGTACTTTTTTATCAATCAAACTTGATATATTATGAAGAGGTGATGACAGTAATTCAGCTCTAGTTCACTTCATTCTCTGGCTTTCTCCCCTTGTGTATGTGGAGTCATGTGTTTGCTTTTTTGCTACCTCAAACATCAGAGAGACCCTCCTAGTAGATGGATTTGCTCATATCTAACTTGCAGGGTAAATTTAGGACAGTAATGTGCCATGTATCAAGAAAATCTAAATGGATATGCTGCTTCTGGTTGACTCAAAACATTGATCTAAATTAAATTACCAAGAAGAGTCATGGGCTTCATCTATGACATAAAATTCAGACAGGGGAACATGCTGGAGTTCAAATCATTTCATCAGTTTCTCCTTAAGTAAATACACTGACAACTGATTAAAATCCTGATATATCTTCAAGGTAGTAATAGAGATCCTGACTATTACTTGACGTTATTTCCAAAAGAAATATTCACCGGCACATGACAAGAGAAAAGGTGACTTTCCCTTAACAGGGCATGGAATTCTGTGTGTGCACATTAGCTAACTAATGAGTCTCTGTGTTGACCACCAACTCTGGATCCTGGAATCAGAACAAGAACGCTTGTTCAATGCCTGCATCTTGATTTTGACCAAAGAGCATCCACTGGTATCTGAATATTTAGACGATATGTGAACTTAATATATTTTAATAAAGCTGATTTTTTTAAGATTTATTTATTTATGCATACAAGAGCTGGGGTACAGGCCAGAGATGTGAGGGACGAGAGGACTCAGCAGAGACAGAGTGGGGAAAGGAACAGGCAGACTGACCGATGTACACTGCCGAGGGGAGCAGCCGGTGAGCCAGGAGAGTTCTGCTGTGCCATGCGGGTTGCTCCCTGGCCTGCTGGGGATCCAACTATTGCTGCAGAGGCCGCTGACCACCTCACAGTGCAGTGCTTAACCCCTTGCGCCACCAGGGAGGCCCTAAAGCTAATTTTTAAGAAAAGATTTATTTCATTTATTTGCATATGCAAGAACGGGGGTCTAGGCCCAAGGTGGGGGGTGGGTGTGAGTGAGAGAAGTCACCAGAGACAGAGTGGAGAGAAGAAGGACTTGAATCCACTGCTGAGGGGAGCAGAGGGGAGACTGGAGAGGTCAGCTGAGCCCTGGGAGTCAGCTCCCTGGCCCAGGAGGGAACTCAGACTTCAGCAGCTGGTGAGAGGGTGAGAGCACTGAGAATTAACCCTGTCACCCCCAGGGCGGCCCTGTTCAGCAGCTTTTCATCACAACCCTGACCTAGTTCGCCACCGCCTGGCAGTTTTCAGGGGCCCTGCCCACCTGCCCATTCTACCTCAAGCTCTGTTCATCCCACCTCTGGGCTGCAAACCCAACCCAAAGTCACGCCTAGACGCCCGCGCCGGGTGGCGCACAGAATTGTGGGAAATGTAGTCTCCTGCGCTCACGCAGTTCCCGCCAAGGGCTCTGGGGCGAGGCTTCCTGGTTCTGCGCAGGCGCGGCCCCGCCCCTCGCCCTGTCAGGGCGTCCGGAGCCTCCACGCGGGCAGTGGCGGCGCGAGTTGTGCGCGGGCGTCGTGTGGGAGGCCGGACTCAGGGTGCGCTGTGGCGGCGCGCGGTGTGGGAAGCAGGGGTCCCGGGCGCCCGGTGTGGGGAGCTGGGGGCCGGGGCGCGCACGGTGGAGGAGTGTCGGGCGACGCCTGAGGGCGGGCGCGGGGGAGGAGCCCGGGGCGCTAGACCAGCGCGGGGGTCAGAGCGGCGGGTGAGGCGAGGGGAAGGGGGGTTGTTGGGGACCCCTCCGGACACGGCGGAGCCTCTCCACGGACGCCCCGTCGTGCTCTCCGGAGTTCTGAGTGTGATGTAGGCAGGTGTGTGTGTCGTGGGATTTTAGAATTTCTCGCCGCGGGGATCGTTAGAAGCGCGGGGTTGGGCTGCAAGTCCCTGCGCGTTTTCTCTGTAAAGGTCCCGCCAGATTTGCTGCCTTTCAGGAGACGCGCGGCCGGTGTGTTCCTGGACGTTCGTGGTTCTGCATTTGGGCCTTTCCCTTCAGGTGCGCGGTGGGGCCGGGGTGTCGCGGGAGGCTGAGCTGACCCGCGGCCCTGACTGAGGCCGGTGGGTGAGAATTTCCCGCCTTTCTGCTGGGTCCGCCGTCGCCCAGCCGTGTCCCCTGATGGCTGACCTGGGTGTCTCCCAGGGAGAACTGACTGAAAGGCAGTCCTGGAAGGCAGGACCCTGGGAAAGCACATTTCCTCATGAGCACACCGCACTGACTCCCTTTGGGCAGCACCCCGGGGCAGATCCACTTCATGGTCAGGGGGTGTCCATGGGTGTGGTGGAGGGAAGTGCCTGGAACCATTTCTGGGAGTGTCCTAGCGAAATGGTACATCAGTTGCATCTTTCCCTATGAAATTGTGGTCAGCAGTTTTGTATGTGACTAAGCATCTTCGAAAAAAAATTTTAAGTGTCTGAACTTAGAATTTCTTGGATAATCACGTGTGTTTTGACACAGGAGGCAGGTAAGACAGGGGAGGGAGGGGAGGCGTGTGGGAGGGAGGAAGGAATTATATACCGTGGTGAAGTGTAAACAACTGCCTCAGTCCTCTCCCGCTGGACTCCATCCACCTCTCCAGCTCCTTCCCACAGTCCTCAGGCATCTGGGAGAGCAGCAGATAATGAATACATCTCTGGTGAGTGATTTGGTTTTCTTTAGCTTGTGGTACATTGACTCTGTACACTTTATCAGGCAAAGGTGTCCTGTAGATCCAGGAAATCACATGCGTGGAGATTGGGCTCTGCCCTGATGCTCATGCAGAGCAGAGTCTGAAACTATGTCTGGTTGACCTCGATGATGGACTGTGGCTTTTCACCCATCTGGAAATAAACACTTCCCGAGTTCTGCACTGGTCAGGTGTGGGGTGAAGGAGAAGGAAGAGGAGTGGGGTCTGAGGACCTGAGTGCAGAATGGGGGTGAAGAAGACACATGTCATTTAAAAAGGTCAACTTAATTTTTAAGGTTTCTCTGAAGTTGCTAAAATAATACAGTGTGGGTCTCCTTGGTGGCGCAAGGGGTTAGTTAAGACATAACCTATGAAGCTGTCTCCAGCCACTGCAGCACGAGCTCCATCCCCAGCCATGGAGCTACCCACATGGTGCAGCAGACCTCTCCTGACTTGCCCACTGCTCCCCTCAGCAGTGGATTTCAGTCAGTCTGCCTGTTCTTTTTCCCACTCTATCGCTGGTGAATCCTCACTCTGGCCTGTACCCCAGTTCTTGTATGCATAAATAAGTATCTTTTAAACAAAAAAATGATATGGTGTGTCCCAGACAACTCTTGGAGGCTCTTTCATGCAGGAATCAGTCTTGGCATGTGTGACATTGAGTCCAGTGGGGGTCCTTAAATACCTCCCCATGCCTCAGGTGGTCTAGAAACCCAAGGTGCCCAATAGGCTGTTAAGTCATATTTTCTGGCACTTTACGTTTCACCTTGGTGTAGGCTTAATACATTGCTCGTGAGGCTCACTACACCCTAAGATGTTCTCAAGTCCAGTTATATTTCTCTAGCCTTTGCCTTCCCCAAATTTCCTGCCATATTGATTTGACAATACTGTGTGTGACCTTGGGGAAATTTCGGGGTTTTTTCCCCAATTGTTTTAAATCTTCCTATACTTGTTTGCATGTTTACTTCTTTTACTTATTTTTGGCCTCCTCAGTCTGTCTTGACCTGTGTGGCACTAAAAGCCTTCTGCTGAAATAGTTGTCAGTTTTCTCTTACATTCCTAATAGGTTTTGTCCTACCTTTTTTCCCCGCTACCAAACCACCCTGGCCCATACCCCAATTGCCCCCTCTCTAACTTCTCCACCCTTTCCTTGTTCCCTGGTGGTAACCTTTATCTTCTTTTTGCCTCGTTCAGGTTTTATTCCTATGGTATTTTTGCCTGTAAATGTATTTTGGGTATTTATTTTTTAAAGATTTATTTATTTATGCATACAAGGGCTGGGGTACAGGTCAGACGTGTGGGTGGAGAGAGGATTCACCAGAGACAGAGAGGGCAACGGAACAGGCAGATTGACTGAGTCTACTGCTGAGGGGAGCAGCGGGCAAGTCCGGAGAGTCCTGCTGCGTTGCGCCCTTTCGGTAGTTCGAACTCGAGCTTCATAGGTTGCGTATTAATCCCTTGTGCCACCAGGGAGGCCCTATTTTGGGTATTTAATATTCCAGAGATGAGTGAAGCCATCTGATATGTGTGTTTACTTTTTGACTTATTTCACTCAAGATAATCACCTCCTGGCCCACCCATTTTGTCCTGAGTGCCACCCCTTGCTCTTTCCTCACAGCCCTGCAGTCCTCCACTGCGTGTGCTCCATCCTTCCTGTCCCTGCCTCTGTTGAAGGGATGTAGGTTGGGCCATGATTGGCAAGTTGGGAACAGTGCTGTCCTGCTCATAGGTGTAGATAAATCTTTTTGTATATGAATTTTCACGTTTGGATAAACAACTTACGGAGGTATTGCTGATCATATGGAATTTCCGTTTTTATATCCTTAAGAAATCTCTGCACCGTTATCCACAGAGACCGTACCAACTGTCATGGCCACCAGCCATGGGTGAGAGCTCCTTTTTCTCTGCAACCTCTCCAGTGTTGTGAATTCCATTCTTTTTTATTTGGGCCATTCTACAGGAGAGAGGTGGCATCTCAGTGTGGTTTTAATTTACGTTTCTCTTACAGTGAGTTAAGATGACTATGTGTCTGTAGGACATCGGCATTCCTGTGTCTGTAGGACATGGGCATTTCCTCTTTAGGGAACTGTTTATGTAGTTCCTTTGCCCATTTTTAATTGAGCTGATTGTTAGTTTCTCAAATTGTTTGGGAACATTATAAATTTTGAAATGAACCCCTTGTGAGATGTTGGCCTGCAGATTTTTTTTTCTCTTCTGTAGGATGCCTCTCTGCTTTTGTGCTGGTTTCTTTTGAGGTACAAAAGCTTTTAGGTTTGGTTTTGTCCCACTTGCTGATTTTTGCTTTTGCTTCCCTTGGTGTTGGGGTTTTGTTCCCTAATATAGTTTGTAGCAGCTGTCTGGTAGTGTACTCCTTATTTTCTTTCAGTACTTCATGGTTGGGGCTCTTTTGTCCAAACGTTGAATCCATCTGGAATTCATTTTGTGTATCGAGTTTGGTATGGGTCTTGGTTCTTACTTTTGCGAGTAGCTGTACATGTTTCCCAGCACCATTTATTTTTTTGAAGATATATTTATTTACATATGCATAGAAGAACTGGGCTGTTGACCAGACATGAAGGGGCTCTGAGGATTCACCAGAGACAGTGGGGAGAAGAACTGGCCGAGCTACTGAAATACACTGCCGAGAGGAGAAGTGGGGGAGACAGGAGAGGTCATCTGTGCCACATAGGGATCTGCTCCCTGCCCTGGGGTAGCCCTGATAGTGCCGAATCTTAACCCCTTGGTTACAAGGGAGGCTCCATCCCAGCGCCAATTATTTAAGAGGCTGTGTTGTTTCCGTTGTATGACTTTACTTTGTCAAAGATGAACTCTTTATTTGCATGATTTGCTCTCTGGGTTTTCAGTTGTCTTCTGGTTTTGTTCCGGTACAATACTGGTTTTTGATTACTATTGGCGTTTAATATATTGTGAAGTCAGAAAGTGTGATACTTACAGTTTCTTCTTTTCTCTCAAGATCTTTTAGCTATTTGGGACCTTCTGTGGGTTCATATAAATGTGGTAATAATTCTATTTCCTGACAAAAGGAAGTCCTTGTTATTTGGATAGGTATTGCATTAAATTTGTAAATTGCTTTGGGCAGTAAGGCCATTTAATGATGTTAATTCTTCCTACCCAGGAACACAGCTATCTTTCTTTTTCTTTGTGTCTTTTATTTCCTTTAATAGATTTTTGTAATTTTCGGTGTTCACGTCCTTCACCTTCTTTAACTTTAATAATTGAAGTTATTTCATTCTTTTTGGTTTGAATGTCAATGGAAATGCCAGTCATTTCACATACTTTCTCTTCATAACTTGTTTCTACTTCCAGAAAAAGAAACAAAAATTTTACCATATGCAACTGTCATGAAATTATAAGTTCAACATGTTATGTAACTTTTTTTGAGAAATTACACTCAAAATGGTAGTTCTTATTATAATGGATTCCATGTTGTAGGTCTACAACATGGATATGAAATATGCAAAAAGTATCACCCAGAGCTTGGTTTCCTTCATACTCTTTGATATAATCCTGAATTTGTTGACATGGCTATATTCATCAATTTCATGTGTATGTGGCCCCCATTTTTATTACTTGAAAAGGTCACATTATATACTGTCTTCTGTGTCTTTCCCTTTTTTACTAGTGTCCATTCTTGTCGGCTACAAAACCTGCTGTGCACAATCCTTTAGGGTCCTCTCTGATCCATTTTAGCTCAGATCAATAGGGACAACCCAGATTTCTAATTTTCTGGATGTTTGAGGAAATGTTCACATAAAAGATCAAGTGTATTACTAAGCTCAGAGAATAATATCTGGTTTATACAAGAATCTAATAAAAGCTGTGGGAATGGTGTCTAGGACACTAAATGTTCAAATATGATTGTTGTTGCTTTGTTAGTATTCGATCATGACCTACAATTTCCTTCAAGTCTTTCAGCTCAGTTTCTACTACGAATTTTCCCCATTGTCCTGCCTCTTTGCTATACAAATATGTGCCCTTGGGTCAGATTTGACATCACTGAAATTATAGCGTCCATGGTATTTTCATGGATGTATGTGATCATCTATGCTCAGTGGGTGCATTAGACTATTAGTGTGTAAACACAGATCTTAGTACATAGGGCATTCTTCTCCCCTCAGAACCATGTCTCTCTCTTTCCTTTTTTTAAGATTTATTTTATTTATTTACACATACAAGAGCTGGTGTATAGGCCAGAGTTGAGGGAGTCAGGGGGCTGAGAGGAATCACCAGCGACAGAGTGGGGAGCAGAATGTGTAGATCTACTGAAATCCACTGCTGAGGGGAGCAGCAGGTGAGAAAGGAGAAGTCTGCTGCACCATGTGGGTCAGCTGCCTGTCCGGGTGTGGAACTCATGGTGCTGTGGTTGCCATAGCTTCATAGACTAAACCCCTTGTGTCACCGTGGGGGCCCCTTTTAACTTTCTCTTCATCTCGTGTCCCATTTAGAGCTCTGCTAGTGGCCCCATAGTAACTGTGTATTTTGATTTCAGGAACCCTTGACCTTCAGAGATGTGGCCATAGAATCTTCTGAGGAGAAACAGGACTGCCTGGATCTGGCTGTGCACATTCCTTTAGGGTCCTCTCTGATCCATTTTAGCTCAGATCAATAGGGACAACCCAGATTTCTAATTTTCTGGATGTTTGAGGAAATGTTCACATAAAAGATCAAGTGTATTACTAAACTCAGAGAATAATATCTGGTTTATACAAGAATCTAATAAAAGCTGTGGGAATGGCGTCTAGGACACTAAATGTTCAAATATGATTGTTGTTGCTTTGTTAGTATTCGATCATGACCCTGGGAATTGTACAGGGATGTGATGTTAGAGACCTACAAGAACCTGGTGTCCTTGGGTGAGAAGAATATCCCTCTAGATGTCCTAATCTGCCTCACCTTTTCCTATGCTGTGTGTGGGTTTGCTCCAGGGATGTCCCAATTTGTAGGATACTTTTCGATCCCTGCTTTAAAGAAAAACAGTGTGGGTTTGTTGGAAAGAAAGTCTCATGCTGTTTCATCATGACTTAAACGTCTCCTTTCTTAAGGTGATCTGCAACCTGCTCTCTTTATTAGGGCTCATTCAAGAAAATCAGTGCCTAAAGCGTTACTGCTACAAGCTAAAAACCAAGCTTCTACCACATTCCTAGGACTCTGGTTTAGAAATGGTTCTCAGGATATGAAAATTTAAATGATTTCTAGTAAAGGTGTGGTCAGAAAAGTATTAGCAGTGATCTTTTTCTAGAACCTTCTATATTGTCCTCTCTATTGAACACAATACTGCATTGAGAATTTGAGAATCTCCAGGACCTCTCACATTACCTGTCCTAATAAACAGGTCTTGCTGTGTCTACGCCCACCCTGGTCGTCTTGTTGGAGCAAAACATGGGAGTGCTGGGATATGAAGAGAAGTGCAAATCCCGTCATCCTCCCAGGTAAGTGGAATGAATTCAGCACAAGACACAGCTGAGAGGTGCAGTGGGCAACAGGAAAGCATCCTAACAATGTTTGGGAAGTCTTGCTTTCCCTGGGGGCATCTCCTCTCTGACATTTGAGTCCTCTGCCTTTCCTTCTTACTGAATTGCACTAAGGTTTTGTCAGTTTTGTTGATCTTTCAAAATCCAGACTTCTTTTAATAAGAAACTCCTACCTTTTGGCCATGATGTTACATTTATGTATTTCCTATTAATTTTTAAATGTCCTTTCTGCCAATATGGAGCTTAAATGGTTGTTTTCTAATTCCTCGGGATGTGAAGTTATATAGCTCAGCTGAGATCTCTCTCGTGGCTAGTGTAATTGTTTAATGCTTTAAATTTATACCTTATTGTTGTTTTCCAAATACCACATGTTTTAGGGAATTTGCTTCATTTCAGTGTTTTCACAGTATTTCTTAGTTTTTGGGGGGATCAAGGAAACGTTGGTTTCCCTTGCTCTCTGTGATTTAAGGAATAGAATCTCATCTTCTCAGATGGCTGTCACCACCACACCCACCACCAGTGCACTCATGGGTCTCTCTATAGATTTTTGAGCCCCCTCCCACTGTTGTACCCACACCCACTGTCCCTACCACTTCAGTACTCTCAATTCTGCAGTCCTATTTCTAAAGTTGATTTTGGTTTGTATTGTCAGTTTCTTTGCTTTTTTTCTTCCATATAGGAGTGTATTCATCCAGTAAGTCTTTCTCCTTCTGATTCATTTTACTGAGCATAATCCACCCCCAACATTCCATCCTTGTTATTGCAAATGGTCAGAGGTATCCTTTTTAATGGCTCAGTAGTATTAGAGAGAGAAACTGCACAAATGTCAAGATTGTGGTAAAGCCTTGAATTGGCATCCACAACTGACTAACCATGTAAGAAGTCCTACTAAAGAAAAGCCTTACATGTGTCCAGACTGTGGTAAAACCTTTCTAGGCTTGTGTCGCCTTTCCCAACATCAGAGAGTTAATAATGGTGAGAAACCGTACAGATGTGAAGAATGTAAGAAAGCCTTTAAGCTCAAGTCACATTTTAGTCAACATCACAGAATTCGTACTGGTGAGAGAGCTTACAAATGTGAAGTCTGTGGCAAAGCCTTTAATAATAATTCAAAAGTTACTCAACATCGTAGAATTCATACTGGGGAGGGCCTCCCTTGGTGGCGCAGCGGTTGAGCACTGGGCTGCGAAGCTGCCCGCAGCCTCTGCAGCGCCGGTTCAATCCCTACCAGCGAGGGTCCCACATGGCATGACAGACCTCTCCTGCTGCACCCACTGCTCCCCTCAGCAGTGTATTTCGTCAGTCTGCCTGTTCTGCTCCCCATACTGGGGAGAAACCTTATGGATGTGAAGAATGTGGCCATCATAGCTTAGTCAACAACAGAGAATTCATACTGGGGGGAAACCTTATAAATGTGAAGAATGTGGCAAAGCCTTTTCTTTTTTTTTTTTTTTAAGTTTTATTTATTTATACAAGAACCGGGGTACAGGCCAGATGTATGGGAGGGGGTGAGAGGATTCACCAGAGACAGAGCAGGGAACAGAACAGGCAGAGTGAATGGAATACACTGCTGATGGGAGCAGTGGGGAGACAGGAGAGGTTTGCTGTGCCATGTGGGCAGCTCCAGCCTGGGGAGCGAACTCGTGCTGCAGTGGCTGAGGACAGCTTCAGAGGTTACATCTTAACCCCTGCACCACCAGGGAGGCCCCACAGACCGTTGTCTTTAGGTACTTGTTCAGCCATTTTTTTATTCTTTCAGTGTGTTCATGGAAAGTTTATCCAGTGGTCAATTTTCTTTGAGAGGGGAGAGCAACAATAATCTCAGAAATGGCCTTTGCTTTCTGAAGTCACATTCGGTGAAAAAGGAAAATATAATAAATACATATATGAAGTAGAGAAGTAAAGCCACAGAGGATGCTTGACCAGGATGAGTGAGATAAAGTGGGGGATGTTATTTTTGTATTTGTGTTCCAAAGGCATCATTATAGAGATTAATTCTTTTCTTTTAGAGCTTAGGTGAGATGAATGCTTTGCACTGACATGTCGTATGTATAGTTCCCAATGCAGTCTGGGCTAGGGGCTGTGTATTGCTATTGGAGATGTCACTTAGCAGGTGCCTAATTCAAAATTGATAGGGGGGGTTGACTGGAGAGCTATTTAGAGCATGAGTAGTGTTTCAGAGGCAAGCCTTGCGACCGCCCACATAATAAATTGTGAGGCTGAGGAGGAACCAGAAATTGTTCAGTGTGGGAAGGGATGTTCTGTGACATGGGAGGGGAAGCCTGAGGTTGTGGTATCTAAAGTCATGGAACCAAGAGATTCAGGTTGGGGGCTCATATTATACCTTGGGGAGAAGTTTGGCCTGTGCAACTCCACCTTCTCGTGGGGATCATTGGGAAGAAAGTAAAGGTATCAATGAAAGTGTGATATAGCTAAGACTAACATATTACATCAAAACTTGAGATGCTATGAATGAAGTAGAAACACAAGTACCATTGATTGTGGTGAGAATACCAAGAATGTTCATCTCAGAAGGATGTGGAAAAAGCCTTTAATGATGATGGCCACAGGCTGGATTGCAGAGCTTTTTTCCTGTCGATATGCAGGGGAAAGTTGGATACAATGATGAGGCGGAGTTTGCTGCATGTATTAGGATTCTGAGCAGCATGTGATATAATATTCAAATAAGAATTGACAAAAAGATCTCTTTCTGCCATGGAGGGAAGTACTTGTCTTTGAGAACCTCTGCAACACTGACTTAGGGAAAAAAGACAATTTGGACTCAATTCATCGTTTGAACCACAATATCAAAAATGGAAACATCTCAGCAATGATGGCTGACAACTCTACTATATATAGCCAGTGCCAAAGGAGAAATGAAAACTAAGGAAATGTATATGCAGAATCCTTGAGTCTTAGCAGTGCTCTTTCTTAAAGTGATCGGAATATGACCCTGTATCACTGTGAATCAATAGGTTCTCCAGAGAAACCATGACATCTACAGGGCTTGATTATTCAGAAAGTACCAGCAAGAGTTGCACAGGGTCATTCTAAGAAGGAAAGTATATAGGCTGTATGTTAGAGTAAATGCTCCTGGTTGAAATCAACATCTATAGTGAAGTGAGTCTTTTTACCAAATATTTATGATTTTATAAAAACAACATGAAATAAGTTTTACTGCTTCCTTGTCATACTGGTTTGGCATTAGAAAATCTGTTAATTGGGGCCTCCCTGAAGTCCTAGAGGTCAGTCTCTAAGCTCTCACTGCTATGGCCTGAGTTTGATCCATGGACAAGGAGTTTACCCATGTTGGTGCAGCAGACCTCTTCTGTCTCACCTGCTGCTCCCATCAGCAGTGTATTTCAGTCCATCTGCCTGTCTGTTCCCCAGTCTGTCTCCTCACTCCCTCACAGTACCCCCCACTCCTGTACCTCTGGCCTACACCCCAGCTCTTCTATGCCAAAATAAAAATAAAGAGACAAAATAGTCTATTTTTCCCATAATTTGTTAGGGGCAAAAAAGCATGAATCAAAAAATCAGTACCTGTAAGTTGTGCTGTAGTATAGAAGCTTTTGTGCCTCTTAGTAGCATTCAGTCAAAATGTAAGTTATTTATAGACAGGGTCATTTTTATCTCCTTTTAGATGTCCACACTGGATTACCTGACTCAAGACAACCCGCCAAATCAGGGCAGACATTTGTGGCAAGTTCTTACCGCCAACCGCAAATTATCAACCAATGAGACATCTGACTTAGGGAAAAAAGGCAATTTGGACTCAATTCATCGTTTGAACCACAATATCAAAAATGGAAACATTTCAGCAATGATGGCTGACATGGGCCTCCCCGGTGGTGCAACGGTTGAGCGCTGGGTTGCAAAGCTGCCCGCAGTCTCTGCAGTGCCGGTTCAATCCCCGGCCACCAGGTAAGGGTCCCACATGGCGGGCAGCCTCTCCTGCCGCCTGCTGCTCCCCTCATTCTGCTTGTTCTGCTCTCCGCTCTGACTCTGGTGAATTCTCTCTCCCTCCCGCGCTTCCAACTGTACCCAGTCCTTGTATAAGTAAATAAATAAATCTTTAAAAAAAAATCATTACATAATCTATTTTAAAAAATGATGGCTGACAACTCTACTATATATAGGAAATATTTACCCCTGGTGGGCCTCATGAAGAGCATACTGGAGAGAACAAGGAGGTCTTTAATACAATTAGGGAATTTATCAAGTATCCTGAGCACCTTAGTCTTCAGGCAATTCAAATTTTTCAACTGCCTTTTGAATTTTGTGAGCAGGGGAACACCTTGAACAAGACACAATATTTACACAGGGAGAAGCCTTTGCAGAAGGGACTGCCCTTAAATACAGCAAGTATAGGGACACCTGCGATAAGCTACCTTTCATTGTCCTAGACGGAACCCAAGAAGGACCGACTCCCTGTCCATGTAATGAAAGGGGGAGACCTGCGGAGGTGAATCCAGTACATTTGAATCTTCCTAGATATGTTGAAGATGAGCAGCAGAAATGTTAAGAAAGTAGGGCCAATCTCAAAAGCATATTTTCCACCCATCAGCATGAGAGTACTCAGGACAGAATACTTTTGAATACAGTGCATATGGTGAAACATTCCCTAAAATCTCTGTTCTGACTAAACATCAGAAAACAAAAGCAGTTGATCAATCTTATAAATGTTGGGACACCTCTGAGATTTCCTTACAGAGTAGATACCAGAGAAATCTCACTACAGAGAAATTGTTTGGCTCTAAAGATTATGTGAAAACTTTCTCATGGAAGACTGCCCTCGCTTTACATCCACAATCTGAAGCAGAAGTGAAGCATTATAAGTGTCAGTTACGTAAGAAAACTTTCAGGCAGAAGTCAGCTTGTAGTGTATATCAGAGAACTCATACAAGGGATAAACCCTATGAATGTCACGAGTATAGGAAAACTTTCTCCCGTAAACCAGCCCTCTATAAACATCAGAGGACTCAAACAACAGGAGAAAAACCATATGAATGTCGAAATTGTACAAAGACTTTCTACCACAAGTGAGACCAGATAAACATCAGAAGACTCACAAAGAGGGCCTCCCGTGGTGGTGCAGCGGTTGAGCGCCGCACTGCGAAGCTGCCCACAGCCTCCTCAGTACTTGTTTGATCCCCGGCTGCAGGCGGAGAGGGTCCCACATGGCACGCAGACCTCTCCTGCCACGCCCGCTGCTCCCCTCAGCATTATATTTTGACGGTCGGTGTGTTCTGCTCCTGCTCTGGCTCTGGTGAATTTTCTCACCCTCCTGCGCTTCTGACTGTACCCAGTGCTTGTATAAATAAATAAATCTTAAAAAAAAAAAAGACAAAGAAAAGAAGGTCTGTGAATGTTAAAAGTGTAGAAACGTTTTCTCCAAAAAATCAGCCCTCTCTTACCATCACCGAATACACACTAGAGAGAAACTCTATGAATATGAAAAGCGTATGACAATGTTTTCCTGGAAATCAGTCATCTTGCTACTTCAGGGAAAACTTAAAAATGTCAAGAAAACTTTTTTCAGTAAATCCACCGTCATTGTACTTAAGAGAAGTCACACTGAAGAGAAGCCCTGTGAATGTCAAGCATGTAGGAAAGTGTTCTCCCCTAAGTCAGTTCTTGTTCTACATCAGAGGACTCACACTGGAGAAAAATCCTACGAATGTGAAGAGTGTGGGAAAACTTTTTCCAGTAAGTCAGACCTCATTGGACATTAGAGAGTTCACACTAGGGAGAAACCTTATGAATGTCAAAAGTGTCGGAAGACTTTCCACTGGAAATCTTCACTCAGTCAACATCAGAAAAGTCACACTGGAGAGAAGCTTTATGAATGTCAAGAGTGTGGGGAGACTTTTTCCTGTAAGCATACCCTCATTGCACATCAGAGATGTCATACTGGGGAGAAACCCTATGAATGTCAAGAGTGTGGGAGAACTTTTTCCAGTAAGCATGACCTAATTGTACATCAGAGAAGTCACACTGGAGAGAAGCCCTATGAATATCAGGAGTGTGGGAAAACTTTTTTCAGTAAGCACACTCTCAGTTTATATCAGAGAATTCATACTGGAGAGAAACTTTGAGTGTCAAAAGTGTGGAAAGACTTTCCACTGGAAATCATCCCTCAGTCAAAATCAGAGAAGTCACACTGGAGAGAAGCCCTATGAATGGCAAGAGTGTCAGAAGGTGTTCTCCGAGAAGTCAGTTCTTGTTCTACATCAGAGGATGCACACTGCAGAGAAACCCTGTGAGTGTCAAGAATGTGGGAAGGCTTTCTACTGGAAATTATCCCTCAGTCACTGTCAGAGAAGTCACTGGAGCGAAGCCTTATGAATGTCAAGAGTATGGGAAAACTTTTTCCAGTAAACACGCTCTCACTAGACATCAGAGAAGTCACTAGAGACAATCCCTAGGAATGTCAGGAAACTCAGAGAGAGTGAAGCCCTATGCATGTCAACAGTGTAGGAAAACTGTTTACTAGAAATCCCTCAATAAACATCAGAGAAGTTGCACTGGAGAGAAACCCTATGAATGTCGAGGGTATAGGAAGGCTTTCTTCAGTAAGTCAGCCCTCAGTAACCAATGCAGAATGCACACTGGAGAGAAACTCTGTGAATGACAAGACTGTCGTAAAACTTTCTCCTGGAAATCAGACCTTTATATACACTCCAGATGTTCCACTGCACAGACACTCTATGAATGTCAAGGAGATAGGAAAACTTTGTCCTGGAAATTAGGCATTACTGTACATCAGAGAATTCTCACATGAGAGAAACCCCATGAATGTGTAGGAGAACTACTGGGTTGTCAGGAAAGTCATGACCTACTTTTCTCTATGTCTCTTGCAAGTATGGGTCATGATTTTTCTGACAACCTTGTAGCTCAGAAGTCAATTATGAGTGTACATCAGCATTCACACAGGATAATTTATTAATTTCTGGAGAGTAGGGAAACTTTCCCCTGGAGGTTAGCCCTTAGTTTGACTCCATAGATAACTGATAACTGACCTTCGTGTATGTGAGTATCCAGAAGGTAGTAAAGCTTTTCACTACAAATCAGATACCACTGGTTAGTGGAGAACTTGAAGGAGAGAAACCCTGTGACTGTCAGTGCTGTGGGGTGGCTTTCTGCCAGAAGGAACTCTCACTGCATGGGGGTATAGGTCAGGAGAGAAATCCTACAGGGGTAATGTGTGTAGGGAAATTATGGAATTCAACCTTCAGCAATCCTAGAAAAGTTACAGAGCAGTGCAACACTGTCTGGTAGAAACTATGCACATATCTACACTGCATTTTTATTTTGTTGGGCAGACACCATGCATTTCCCTGCCTAATTATCCTATACCTGAACTCAGTCCAGGAGTATGTCAGCACAGATGAGGAACATTTTTCTTTGAATATTTTTTATATTATGAAATATTTAAAATATTCGAATATATGAACACAAACCACGTCATTCAGTTGAGCGCTATGTGAGCAAACATTCAGTTTAAATTATAATTGCATGAAGTTTTCTTGTTCACTCTATTCTCCAAGTTCATGTAGTGATTATGTAGCTGTTCCTGTTGCTGTTGGTTCTCGTGTCCTCTTGGTTCCTGGGTGATGCTGTTCGTATCCAAGGTAGCTGTCTGTCTACATGGTACATGGCATTTTGCATTGGTAAGTGATCTCTCTGGGTTTTCTAACTGTGTCATCACATTCTGTCCAGTACTCTAAGCCTCCATGGAGCCACCCTAATGCTGGAATTGCTCAACACCGGAATGCCATTCCATTAGAAGGAAAAGTGGAACTGTGTGATATCTACTATAGATTGGGGTCTGCAACTGTCCTTACCCACCTTTCAAGATGAAAATCTTGGGGCCTCCCTGGTGACCTAGGGGTTAAGTCTCAGCACTATCGCCACTATGGCCAGAGTTTGATCCCCGACTAGGGAGCCAACCCACATAGGCCTCTCCTGTCTCACCTACTGCTCCCGCTAGTGTATTTGAGTGGCTCTGTCTATTCCTCTCCACACTCTGTATGTGGTGAATCCCCTCATCCCCTGCACCTCTGGCCTACACCCAGTTCTACAAAAGAAAGGAATTTTTTGAAGATTATGTATATAAAAACTCGGGTGCAAGCCAAAGGTTTGGGAGTGAGAGGATTCACCAGTGGAGAGCAGAACAGGTGGCTCTACTGAAATCCACTGCTGAGGGGAGCAGCAGGGAGACAGGACAGGTCTGCTGTGCCATGTGGGTCAGCTCCCTGGCCAGGAATTGAACTCTTGCTGCAGTGGCAGAGAATAGCTTCATAGTGCTGAGACTTAACCACTGTGTCACCAGGGAGGCCCCTGAAATTTTTTTTATTACATTGTTGTTCATCTTTGTACAATATTTGATTGTTGCCCTCGTGTAAATTCTGTCTAAATTTTTCATCATCACCTCACCTGTGATCCATCACCACGGTCCCTTGTGCTCTTCCCTCCCCTTGTTTGTTCCTCTCCCTCCCATTCCCCTGCTGGGTGTCTCAGATCTGTAATTTGCCTACTAGTTTTGTCTTTTTTTCCCCTCTGACCCTTTTTTCAGTTTCCCTATATTCCTCCTAGAAGTGAGCAATCCTATATTTATCTTTTTCCTTCTATCTTCTTTCAGAACATAATCCCATCCAACCATCCATGTTTCTGCAAATGTCATGATTTTTTTCTTTTTTGACTGCTGAGTAATAGTCCATTTGTATATATAGCAAATCTTTTTCATCCAGTCATTTATTTTTGGGTATTTGTGTTTGTTTCCATATCTTAGCTATTGTAAATAGTACTGCAATAAACATAAGAATGCAGGTTTCCTTTTGAATTCATGTTTTTGTGTTTAAGTAGATTCTGAGGAGTGGAATTGCTGAGTCAGGTGGTCGCTCCATTTTTAGTAATTTGAGGATCTTCCATGCAGCTTTCCTTAGTGCTTGGACCAGTTTGCATTCCCTCCAGCAGTGTAAGAGTCTCCTTTTTCTCCACATCATCCATAGCATTTGTAGCCTGTTTTTTAAATAGGAACCATTCTCACTGGTGTGAGGTGGTGTCTCATTGTGGTTTTGATTTGCATTTTCCTGTTTGTAAGTGAAGTTCAGCATTTTATGAATACCTGCTGGCCATTTGCATTTCCCTTTGAGAAATGGCTTTTTTGTTCTTCCATTTTTTGACTGGGTTCTTAGCTTTGTGTTTGTGGAGTCTGGTGAGCTGTTTGTATATCTTTGAAATGAGTCCCTCATCAGTTCTAGGGAGTGCAGATATCCACTCCCAACCCATAGGGTGTCACTTTGTTTTTGTTATTGTCTCTCTTGCTCTACAGATGATTTTTAGTTTGATGTAGTCCCAGCTGTTTATCTTCTCCTTCACTTTCTTTGGATGTGATATGAGTCCTCACAGATGTTTCTGAGGTGACCGTTCTGAGTTTTTTGCGTTTTTTGCCTGTTTTTTCCTCTGTGTTTTATGGTTTCAGTTATCCATTTTGAGTTGGTTTTTGTGTATGGTGTGAGGTAGTATTCTAGTTTCATTCTTTTGCATGTAGCTGTCCAGTTTTCCCAGCACCATTTACTGGAGAGACTGTCCTTATTCCTTTACATATTCTTTGCTCTAAAGGATTCTTGCTTAAAGACTAAGGTAAAGAAAAATATTGTGAAGCTGTGACTGTTACTATGACAGGATGTTCAAAAACCCTTGCACTTCCTGCTAAATGCAATGTTTTGTCCACATGAGAGAATGATTAATGTGGTTCTAACTTATGGTTCAGCTGGTAAAGAGCCCATGTAGGTTTATGGGGTTGATAAATAGAACACAGTGCTGTCAGCCTATTTTCCTCATCACTTTACTGATATTTCATTTTCCCTAACTTCTGTGACACAGTGTATAATGTAGGTGTCATACAGGATAACAGTTAATCTACTGCTTTTTAAGGTAACCATTTATACAGTAAGATGATTTTTTTTAAAGATTTATTTATGCACACAGGGGTGTGAGAAGATTCACCAGAGACAGAGTGGAGAGCAGAACAGGCAGATGTGCTGAAATACACTACTGAGGGGAGCAGATGGTGAGGCAGGAGAGGTCTGATGTCTTCTGTGGGGGTCAGGTATCGAACTCTTACTGCAGTGGCTAGCCATAGCTTGATAGTGCTGTCTTTAACCCTTGCGCCACCAGGGAGGCCCCCAGATGTGGTTTTTTTTTTTTTTAAGATTTATTCATTTACAAGAACCGGGGTACAGGCCAGATGCACGGGAGGGTGAGAGGATCCACCAGAGACAGAGCAGGGAACGGAACAGGCAGACTGGTGATATAGACTGCTGAGGGGAGCAGTGGGTGGCAGGAGAGGTCTGTGCACGATGTGGGACCCTCCTCTGGTGGCCGGGGAGCAGCCGGGGATCGAACTGGCGCTGCAAAGGCTGCGGGCAGCTTCACAACCCAGCGCTCAATCGCTTTGCCACCAGTGAGGCCCCAAAAATTCACCCACCTTGTTTAATGAAGCTTTGGCTCAAGACTTGATGCCTTTTCAGAGCAGTCACCCCCACCTAACACTTCTTCAATATGTAGATGATGTCTTTCTAGCTGCCTCCAGCCAGGAGCTATGCGTCAGTGGCACAGAAAAACTTCTCACCACCTTGTAGACGCTAGGTTATCAGGCCAGTGCAAAAAAGGCTCAAATCTGCTGTCAACAGGTCACCTATTTGGGGTACCGACTCAAGGAAGGAAAACGGTGGCTCACTGAAGCCATGATATGCACCATTTTGGACACTCCTCCGCCCATGAGCAGGCATAAGGTACGGGAATTCCTTGGCTCTGGGGGTTATTGCAGACTCTGGATCCCTGGGTTTGCAGAAACTGCGGGACCATTATATGAACTCACCAAAGAAGGCAGTTCCCCAAAGGACTCCTTCTCCTGGGGAGAGGCTCATCAACAGGCCTTTAACTCTTTTAAATTCACCTTTCTGACCACACCAGCCCTGGCCTTGCCGGACCCGGAGAAGGCCTTCAATCTCTTTGTGCATGAAAAAAATGGCATCGCTAAGGCAGTATTGACCCAAACCTTAGGACCTTGGTGAGGCCAGTAGCTTACCTTTCAAAAAAGTTGGACCCAGTCGCAGCTGGCTGGCCACCGTGCCTGCGTATCATCACTGCAGCAGCAGTCAACTTGAAGGACGCCGATAAACTTACCCTGGGACAACAGGTGATGGTGGCTATCTCCCATGCCTTGGAAGGGGTGTTGCGTAATCCTCCGGGTAAGTGGATTAGTAATGCCCGGTTACTTCATTGCCACAGCTTGCACTTAGATGCTCCCCGGGTTCTGCTCAAGGCTTCCTCAGGTCTCAACCCTGCCACCCTACTGCCAGACCTGGATATGGAGACGGAGATCCACCCTTTTCAGAAAGTTCTGGCCCAGGCGGCAGGGGTCCGCCCTGACCTGCGAGACACACCCCTGTCTGCAGCTGACCTTGTTTTGTTCACTGATGGCAGCAGCTTTATTCTGGAGAGGCGCCAGCGGGCTGGGGCAGCAGTGGTTAGTTTGGACTCAGTAATCTGGTCCCAGCGCCTTCCAAATGACACCTCGGCACAAAAAGCATAATTGGTGACTCTGACTAAGGCCCTACAGCTGGCAGAGGAACAAAGTTTAACTGTGTACACAGACAGTAGATACGCCTTTGCTACTGCTCACATACACGGGGCTATATATGCCAAAAGGGGGCTCCTTACTTCTGAGGGTAAACCCATCAAACATGGTGAGCATATTCAGGATCTTCTCCAGGCTGTCCTGCTGCCCAAGAGGCTGGCCATAGTGCACTGCTGAGGACACCAGACCAGCCAAACCCCTGAAGCCCAGGGAAACCAAAGGGCAGATGCAGAGGCACGGCGAGTGGCCCAAGAAGGAGATGAGCCAGTGCTCCTCCAGGTCCTCAACCTACCACCACCATGAATGGGCCCTCTGCCAAAAGGGAACCCAACCTATTCCACTGAGGATCGTAATTGTATCCACAAAAACTTTCCCTCGGCTAAAGAAGTAAAGGGGTGGCGGATGGCTGGGGAAGTTTTGCTACTCCCCACACAGATGGGCTGCCTGCTCCTAAACTGACTGAACTCCACCACACACCTCAGAAGCCACAAGGTGCAGCAACTTCTTAGAACAGCCAGAGTTGCCTTTCAGCATAAAAATAAACTGTGCCAGGAGTTGCTGGCAGACTGCACAGCTTGTCAGACCATGAAGCCCCAGCCCAGAGCAAAGATCTCAGGTAGTAGAAAACAGGGATCTTTTCCTGCAGAAATTTGGGAAGTGGACTTCACAGACGTAAAGCCGGATAAATATGGGTGTAAATATCTACTAGTTTTTATAAATACCTTTTCAGGAAGAAAACTGCCAAAGTCGTCTGTAAGGCTCTACTAGAAGACATAATACCCCAGTATGGAGTTCCACAAGGTATAGGCTCTGACAGTGGTCCTTCCTTTGTAGCCAGGGTAGTCCAGGGTCTAGCCCAGGCACTAAGGACAGATTGGAAATTACATTGTGCTTACCATCCCCAGAACTCTGGACAGGTAGAAAGAATGAATCAAACTCTTAAGGAGACTTTAACCAAATTATGCCTAAAGACTGGCGGGGATTGGGTGCTTCTCCTTCCCTACTCGTCGTTCCGTGTCTGGAACTCCCCATAGTCCCTAGGACTAATGCCATTTGAAATTATGTATGGCCACCTACCCACTGTGGTACCACATGGGCTAGGCATGAGTTCAGGATTCCATGTGGGAGGGTCATTCACATTACAGCTGCTGGCTCTACAGCACGTCTGGACAGACACCTGGCCCAAACTGCGGGGCCTATATGGCTCCACTGAATCTGACCCCAATAAGCCTCCGGGCCACCAGTTCCAGCCAGGAGATTGGGTGTGGGTGTGCAGACATGCACCCAAGACCCTGGAGGCACGGTGGAAAGGACCCTACTTATCTTTATCACCCCTCTTGCGTTAAAGGTTGACGGGATCTCGGCTTGGATTCATTACACCCATGCGCGGGCTGTAACGGGAGCAGAAGTCAACACCAGCTGGAACAGTGGGAGGTTAAGGCAGACCCTTCCAACCTGCTACGCGTCAGACTCAAACTCCGCCAGCACCCGGACCAATTCCCAGTGACTGATCCGAACAAGCCTTCCACCGAGTAAGCCGGCACAATGACCAGACTGTTCCTGCTCCTGCTGACCCTTCAAATTGTATGTGCCTCTCCCCACTCACCCTCTCAGGTGAACCCACATACCCCGTGGAACGTCACATGGACTCTTAGCAATACAAATACTGGAAAAACAGCTGTCCGAATCACGCACCTAGCTCCCTGGGGTCTTGGTATCTGGATATAATTTTTGACCTCTGCGGCCTAGGAGATGGAAAATGGGGTAAGTCTGTTCAGGACCCATCCTGACTAGTCTGGGCCTGCAACAGTGCCAATGGGCGGAGCCAGATTAGAAAAAGTTACTTTTACCTTTGCCCGGGACACAAGGGGCGGGCCACCCGCATCTGTGGAGACCCAAGAGATTACTACTGTGCATCTTGGAGCTGTGTCTCCACCGGTTATATTTCCTGGACAGCGCCAAAAACAGGGGATTTTATTCAGGTTGGCAAGACCCCAGGATCAGAAACACTGGGTTATGGCTTTCATTGGGGGGAGTGGGGGGCAGGTGGGCCTTGTTTGACGAGGGATTGCACCTCTGTCCTTAAATTTACCCAGTTAGGTAGATACCCCAAGCTGCTCCCACAATGGACTAAAGGAATGACCTGAGGACTCAAGACTCTATGCACCTGGCATAGATCCGGGTGTCTTGTTTACTCTGAGGGTTTATGTTCATTCACGTCAAGAACCCTTGCCACCCATCCTGCCAGTGGGACCTAATAAAGTCCTAGGTAAAATCTTAGGACCAGGTAAGACCCTAGGTCCATCCCATCCCCCAGAGCTCGTCACTCTGGCAACCACTGCCTTCTCTCCCTCCTTGAGGTCAGCACCTACCCCGAGCAACTTCCAACGCCCAGTCACACAAATAGTACAGGCTGCTTAATCGCCTGAGACTGACCCTTTCCTTGGAATGCTTGGGCATGTGTTTCAGGTGTTTAATGCTTCTCGGCCTGTCTTGACTTCTTCGTGCTGGCTGTGTTATGACTCAGCCCCTCCCTTCTATGAAGGAATCGCTGTCTTTGGAAATCTCTCCACCTCTATAAAGGACAGTGGCTGTCGATGGCAGCAAAAGGCCAAATTAACCCGGCAACAAGTATCCAGGCAAGGTCTATGCGTTGGAGCTGTGCCCCAGTCCCATGAACAACTATGCACTCAGTATGTGACCCTTAGCCCTAACATGTTCCACTCATATATACTCCCTCCCTTAGACGCTTGGTGGGCGTGTTCCACGGGCCTGACCCCTTGTATTCATGGGACAGTCCTAAATCAGACCCGTGACTTTTGCATCCTTGTGCAATTAGTTCCCAAAATGGTTTACCATCCATATGATAGCCTCCTTGATTCTCTGGAGAAAACCACTGGGCCCACATCCAAGCGGGCTAAGAGGAAACCAATTACTGCCCTCACTCTCAGTGTAATTTTGGGTGCCAGTCTAGTAGGGGCCGGTACTGGAACTGCTTCCTTGATCTCCCAAAATCACCAGTATTCCCGCCTACGGGTGGCTGTTGACATAGACATTGAAAGACTGGAAGTCTCCATTTCCCACTTGCAGGATTCCCTATCCTCTTTAGCTGAGGTGGTGTTACAAAACCACCGAGGACTGGACCTTATTCTCTTACAGCAAGGTGGGCTATGTGCAGCTCTAGGGGAAGAATGCTGCTTTTATGTTAACCATTCAGGGATTGTTAAGGAATCCCTTGCTAAAGTAAGGGAAGGTTTAGCTAAATGAAAAAAAGAGCAAGAGGCTCAGCAGAGGTGGTTTGAATCTTGGTTTAATGCCTCCCCATGGCTAACGACCCTATTGTCAGCCATTGCGGGACCTTTAATTTTGCTCATGCTAATGCTAACATTTGGCCCTTGTATACTCAATCACTTGCTTGCTTTCATCTGCGAACGAGTTAACACAGTACAGATGCTGGTCTTATGCAGCCAATACCTGCAAGTAGAAGAAGTCCAACTGTGAGGCTAGGATTAGCCTCCTCTCACAGTTACAAGAAAAAGGGGGGATTGTAAGATATTAAAGAATTAGGCATAGCAAGACAGCAGCCATTTTAAGGAAAACAGACATTTTAAAGGGCACAGCTATGCCCTAGTTTCATTTCAGGGCAAAAACCACCAGACGGGTAAAAACCACAAGACAAGTGTAAATGAAACTTAGCTAGTGCCAAGGAGAGATAACCAATCAGGCCGAACTTGGTCCCTGGTGTGAAAAGTCCCCGCATCCTGTGAACAAAGTACAAAAACAGCTGGGTTGCTCTGGGAGGGGGTCCCTCTCTTAACCTGATGAGACTGCTGTGTCAGTACACCAGGCAGAGTCAGACCCTAGCTTAAGCTAGCAATAAAGCCTTTTTGCTTTTGCATCTCTGGCTCCATGTGGTCTTTGGGAACCCCGGACGGAGTTGAGGCGCCAACTCCTAACAGGAGAGACTCCAGGTGTACCACCAGACTCTAATGGCAGGGTTGCGCGCGGCAGCCTGCAAACCCACCAATTTGGCCAAGGTAGGGGATGTGCGGCAGGGAAGGGAGGAGACCCCTGTGGCTTTTCTTGAGCACCTCATGGAAGCTTTTCGGCAATATACTCCTATGGATCCGGAGGCAGAGGAAAACAAGGCCGTGGGTAATGGCCTTTGTTAACAAGGCAGCTCCTGACATTAAACAGAAATTACAGAGAATAGATAGGCTAGGAGAAAAATCTATTTGAGATCTTATTGAGGTGGCGGAAAAGGTGTACAATCTACGCGAAACTCCTGAGCTTATCCGCCAGGAAGAACGGAAGGTAAGGGAGGCTGAAAATGCACGCCATGCTCGGGATATGGCCAGAATACCATTTGCCGTCACTTGAAAGAATGACCCGGGTAAGCTACCCCCATTCCACCACCCCAGCTCCACACGCAGGACTCTACAGCGTGATCAGTGTGCATACTGTACTCAGAAAGGACACTGGGCCAGAGAATGCCCAAAGAAGCAGGGGATGACCTCAAACAACACTGCTGTTTCTGACACTCCTGGTGCTCGGGGGCATGAGGGATGACAGTGACTAGGGCCGTCAGGACTCGACCCTCCCCGAGCCCAGGTTAACCTTAAAAGTGGAGGGAAGACCCGTTAATTTCCTTGTGGACACAGGAGCACAGCATTCAGTTCTCACCGAACCTTTGGGCAAGCTGTCCGACAACAGCATGGGCACAAGGGGCTACAGGATGCAAGCAGTATCCTTGGACCACTAAAAGGTCCGTGGACTTGGATAAAGGTCAGGTTTTGCACACCTTCGTTGTGATCCCTGAATGCCCGTACCCGTTAATTGGAAGGGATCTTTCAACCAAAGTAGGAGCACAAATCTCATTTGGACAGGAAAGAGTTGAAATTAGAGACTCTAAAGGTTCTCCCCTGCATGTCCTCACCGTTTCTCTTCAAGATGAATACCGCCTGTTGCTGACACCAGACCACCCACCCCTTTCCGAGTGGTGGATAAAGTCCTTCTCAAATGTTTGGGCAGAAACCGCAGGGATTGGCCTGGCATCCCACCGACCACCCATTATAGTCCAGCTAAAGGCAGGGGCTGAACCCATTCGGGTAAAGCAATACCCTATGTCTGCAGAAGCCAGGTAGGAATAACGCCTCATATTCGGAGGCTTCTGGACAGTGGTATCCTTAAAACATGTCATTCTCAATGGAACACCCCTTTACTGCCGGTGCGAAAACCACATTCGCAAGACTTCTGGCCAGTACAAGACCTCAGCGAAGTAAATAAAAGGGTCGTAGACATCCACCCCACAGTCCCAAACCCTTATACATTGCTGTGTGCCCTGCCACCTACTCATGTGTGGTACACGGTGTTGGACTTAAAAGATGCCTACCACTTGCACCCCAAAGCCAGGAAATGTTTGCCTTTGAATGGCAGGATGCAGAACGTGGTATCTATCAGTGGACAATTAACTTGGACACGATTACCTCAAGGGTTTAAAAACTCTCCCACCCTTTTTGATGAGGCCCTTCATGAGGATTTGCAAGGATTTCGCAGCTGGTTTCCTGAATTAATTTTGCTACAGTATGTTGATGATCTGTTACGGCAGAGAGTGAGCATGCCTGCCGGACAGGAACAGCCAAACTACTGACGGAATTGGGCTGGATGGGATACCGCGTTTCTGCAAAAAAGGCGTAAATCTGCTTGTCTGAGGTAACATACCTGGGCTATCGCCTCAAAGAAGGCCACGGGTGGCTGACAGAAGCCAGAAAAGCTACTGTGTTACAGTTGCCGACACCCGCCACCAAAAGAGCGGTACGTGAGTTCCTGGGATCCGCCTGGTTTTGCCAGCTATGGATACCTGGGTTCGCAGACTTAGCTCAACCCTTATAAGAGGCTACTTGGGAAAAAGTGACTTTTCAGTGAACTCCCCAGATGCAGCAGTCCTTTGAGTCCTTAAAAAGGGCTTTACTGTCCGCACCAGCCTTGGATCTTCCAGACATTACAAAACCTTTCCATCTGTTCATAGACGAGGCAAAGGGCATAGCTAAAGGGGTGCTCACCCAGTCTTTGGGCCCCTGGAGGCGCCCTGTGGCTTATCTGTCTAAGAAGTTAGACCTGGTGGCATCCAGTTGGCCACCGTGCTTACGCATGGTGGCAGCGGCTGCCCTACTTTTCAAGGACTCCCAAAAGCTAGCTCTGGGACAAGTTACTTCCATAACCACCTCCCATGTGGTGGAAGGGGTCCTCAGGCAGCCGCCGGAGAGGTGGATGAGTAATGCCCAAATTACGCATTACCAGAGCTCAACCCAGAGAGGGTTAATTTTTTGCCACCTATGGGGTTGAACCCAGCCACCCTCCTGCCTGCCCCCAACCTGGAGGCCCACCTAGACTGTGTTGATATCTTGGCCCAATAGCTACTCCCTAACCTGCGAGATGATCCTCTGCCGGAGGACTAGTTTGGTTCACAGATGGGAGCAGTTTTATTCACGAAGGGCAGAGAGTGGCAGGAGCGGCAGTAGTGTCTATGCAGGAAGTCATATGGGCTGAGCCTTTACCATCTGGGACATGTGCTCAAAAGGCTGAGCTAATCGCCCTAACTAAAGCTCTCACCTTGGCTTCAGGCAAAGATTTAACTGTGTATACCGACAGTAGATACGCATTTGCCACAGCCCACGTACACAGGGCCATATATCGAGAGTGTGGGCTCTTAACCACCACTCAGGAAATTCTGGATCTCTTGGCAGCGTTGTGGCTACAGCGTAAGCTGGCTATAGTGCATCATTCTGGTCACCAAAAGGACTCCTCGATTCCAATTCAAGGTAATAAGCGGGCGGATGAGGCAGCTCGACAAGCTGCCCTGATGCCAACAGATGCCCTGCCGGTAAAACTCCCAGACCCAGGGGACCCGCAGCTGCCAATAGACCCGGAGTATAGCACTATGGACTTTGACTACATACAGTCTCTACAGGGTGCATTTCCCTTGGGAGACTGGTGGTACACCAAAGAAACTAAGGCTATCTTGCCAGCACACTTGGCCACTGACCTCATTCAGTGCTTACACCGAACCACACATTTGGGAGAGAGAAAAATTCTGGATTTAATCAGGCAATGGAACCTCCATGTTCGGGACGCAACCTGCACTGTGTGACAAATAGTGGCATCCTGCAAGCCGTGTGCCATGGTACACGCCACCAAAGCAACCGGTGAATCAGGGATGCCCGGGGGTCCACTGGGAAATAGACTTCACTGAGGTAAGACCAGGTAAATTTGGCTATTGATACCTACTGGTCCTGGTAGACACGTTTTCCGGATGGCTGGAGGCGTTCCCAACAAGAGGTGAGTCGGCTCGAGTAGTAGCCAAAATTTTATTGGAAGACATTTTTCCTAGGTTTGGGTTTCCAGTGACTATAGGGTCAGACAATGGACCAGCCTTTGTCTCTCAGGTATCAAAATCTGTGGCTTCTGCCCTGGGAGCAGAATGGAAGCTCCATTGTGCCTATCAGCCCCAGAGTTCAGGACAGGTGGAGAGGATAAACAGGACTTTAAAGGAAATTTTAACTAAATTAACTTTGGAGTCTGGCGGGGACTGGGTGACTCTCCTTCCCTATGCCCTTTTTCGAGCTCATAACGCCCCTTACAGGTTGGGGTTGTCCCCATTTGAAATTATCTATGGAACTGCCCCACTGACCACCCCCCATGGCTCTCCATTGCCTAGTGTTTTACCTACTGATTGTGAACTTTTCCTTTCTATTTGGGCTGCACAGCAGGCTCACCAGGAAGTTTGGCCCAGCCTCAGGGCACTCTACGAAAAGGGAGGACCCTCCCAGTCGGCACACAAGTTCCAGCCTGGATATAGCGTCCTTGTTTGCAGACATAAACCTGACAGTCGCGGCCTTCAACCCCATTGGAAAGGCCCATACATTGTTATCCTGACCACTCCCACTGCACTCAAGGTGGAGGGAATCGCTGCTTGGGTACACCATTCCCACGTGAAGGCTGCTCCGGTGCCTGAATCTTCACAGAAGTGGCAAATTCGGAAACACCCAATTAACTCATTAAAACTGACCATTGGAGCGTGTCAGGCACCAGGTGATAATGATCCGCAACCTATTGTGCCTATCTGTTCTTCTAATGGTGAGCTGCCCCAATCCCCATGAGCCTAAAAGACTCATCTGGGTTATTCAAAGTGGCGAAAGCTATGAGGTCTGGAATCAGACTGAGACTAGCAAACCTCCGGGTACCTGGTTTCCTGACCTATATTTTAATTTAAAATACACAAAGGAATGGTCTGAACATCTGGGCTTACACCGGATGTGGCGTGGCTATCTTGATTTAATTGACTCACAGGTGCAGGAAAGACAGACAATGTGGTCTCATGGGTTCTTTACTTGTCCCGGTTATAGAACTGGCAAGTGGAGACGTACTTGTGGTACTGCGCTAGATTATTATTGTGCCTCTTAGAGCTGTGTGGACACCAACGATGGGGAATGGAAATGGAAAACCTCCCCAGACTTAATAACTCTTCAATTTGTTCATCCTTATAGCCGACTTAGTTTGCACCCACAGGCCAATGTATTAAAACTAACCTTCACTGAAAAGGGTCGCCAGGACTCCCAGTGGACTAGCGGGTTGACATGGGGTTTGATGTACTATCAAAAGCCTTGGTGCCGCACGTTAATGCAGGTGATCTTACAGGTCTAATCCTTACAGGTGGTCTTGCTGGGACCGAACATGGCCATCCAACATGCCCCGGCCTCGGCCCCACAGTCCACAGCCAACCCAGCTGCCACCGCCACCCCCATGGTTCAACGCCAGGCGAATCTAACATCCCCCAAGCAATCACTCTCTGACCCGAGATACCCGCAACCAGCTTGGGATGTGTTATGGGACCTGCTACTGACTTCCTTTAGAGTACTTAATATTACTAATCCCAATGCTACCCAACATTGTTGGCTGTGTTATGCGGGAGCCTCCCCCTTTTATGAAGCTACCGCTTTAATAGTGCCTATTAATTCCACTATCAGATACTCCTCTTGTCCTTAGAAATTAAATCTGGTTGGTCCTAAGCAAAGGCTCACCATTCAGGGGATTCGAGGCATGGGCACTTGTTTGGGGCAGACAGCAACTGCGGCCGTGGGGCTCTGCAACAGAACTTTAACCCTTGATGCCACTAATTCCACTAGATGGTTCTACTCAGTGGGATGTTGGGTTTGCTCGCAGTCCGGCCTCACCCCGTGTGTACATGGTGAGGTCGTAAAACGAAATGGAGAATTTTGTGTGCAAGTTAGAATCTTCCCTAAGATCTACTATCACTCTGGCTCAGAGATATTTGATTTTTTTGAAAGGAATCCTGCGCACCGAGCAAAGAGGGAGCCCGTTACTGCCCTTACAGTCGCCACCCTTTTTGGCCTGGGAGTGGCAGGAGTGGCTACCGGTTCTACGGCCCTAAACTACCAGCATAAGGGATTAGCGGATTTTAGGGCAGTCATAGATGAAGATATTGGGCGACTGGAGGAGTCCATATCTCACTTAGAAAAATCCTTAACCTCTTTGTCAGTAGTAGTCCTCCAGAACCGCTGCGGCCTGGACCTCCTATTTTTACAGCAGGGTGGACTGTGTGCAACCCTGGGGGAAGAGTGTTGTTTTTATGCTGACCATACTGGAGTAGTTAGAGAGTCCATGGCTGTGGTCCAGGAGGGACTGGAAAAGTGAAGACGTGAATGTGAATCACGTCAAAACTGGTTTGAGTACTGGTTCAGCAACACCCCTTGGCTGACTATCCTACTTACAGCAATAGCTGGACCGTTAATATTGCTTCTCTTAGCTTTAACTTTTGGCCCTTGCATTTTAAATCAGTTAGTCCGCTTTATAAAGCAGCATTTACAAGCCATCCAGCTAATGGTCCTTCGCTCCCAATTCGTCCCCCTAGACCACGATAATTCACCCCCCCAATCCCTGTAGTAAACACCCTCTGCTATGGAGCCCCATATGTCTCCCTATGCGGCCACTTTCAGCAGGAAGCTGTTACTGATCAGAGTGATGCCCCTTTTTCCCTAAGTACAGGTAAAGGCTCCATTTACAGGAGGGGGAAAGAAAGAAAGAAAGAGAGAAAGAGAGAGAGAGAGAGAGAGAGAGAGAGAGAGAGAGAGAGAGGGAAGGAAGAGAGGGAAGGAAGAGAGGGGAGGGAGGGAGGGAGGGAGGGAGGGAGGAAGGGAGGAAGGAAGGAAGGAAGGAAGGAAGGAAGGAAGGAAGGAAGGAAGGAAGGAAGGAAGGGAGAGAGAGAGAGAAAGGAAGGAAAGGAAGGAAGGAAAAGGAAGGAGGAGGGAGGGAGGAGGGAGGGAGGGAGGGAGGGAGGGAGGGAAAAGAAAGAAAAAAGAAAGAGACAATAAAGTGCAGGAATGTGTGTACCAGATATGTTTATAACGACTAATGTTACTTTAGTTAAGTTTAGTTGTAGTCATGCTAATGCTGTTAGTGTAGGCTTTATGCTTTTGCTATTATGCAAAAAAAAAAAGGGGGGGGGAATGTGAGACTTAGCCACTATTCCTCCATCTTGTGTATAACCACCATCTTAGTATTTCAAGTTTTGCTTACTCAAGACTAAATAGCCTGCATTCCAAAGAGGGTTTGTGACCCCCACCCCACTCTGGTCTTATCTCAGATGGCCAGCCACAGCGGAGCCGAGTAATGGGTCTAACTGGCCATAAAATAGGACCGAGCAATGTGGGCCACTAATGGGGTCAAACTAGCCATAAAATAACTGTGTACCCATCGTTGTTAGGAAATGCACCTGTGTAACCAATGAATGATGCACCTGTGTAACTAATAAATGATTGCCAACATGATTTAATTTTTTAGAAATCTATTTGTACCCCTATATAAGATCCCCATTCCCTTTGTTCAGGGCTCCCGACCTCTGCCGTTACATCGGTGCATGTCAAGAGCCCAGCCTCAAGCCCATAATAAACTCCTTTGTGTTCTTGCATCGGCTGTCTGTGTGTCCTTGGGGGCTGCACTGGTCGACATTGGGCACAACACTATTTTCAGTCTTTT